CTCTAGCTAAGACCCTGACCGGAAGTACAGTAGTCTGCATGATGGACTTGAAGTGAACCTTGACGTTGTAGTATTATGTGACAGATGATAGTTCATACTTTATCTTCAAAATGCATTATTTATTCCATATTTAGGAATTATAAAACATTTCCCGTGCTTATATGTATATTAACTGTATACCAACACGGAAAATGAGTGGAAGTTGGAGTGGAACGATGCTCGAAGACGAAAGGCTGAGTGTTTTCACACTATTTCGAGTTTTCACAAGTGTATATCAACACGGGAAAATCTTATATAATTCTTTTATAACATAGTACTAGAGAATAAGTAAAACATGTGGGAAATTTGGGGATACGGGGATTACGTTTGGGGATTACAGTTTTTATTAATTTGGGGATTAGGGTATCGTTATGATTAGCCAGTATTCATCATTCATTTGCACCATTCTTCTCGAAAAACTGTCGGAAACTATGCAGCTTAGGGGGATGACATATCACGTGTATTTTAGGTGATTTAACTTTAGTGATTGGGGTTTTATTTTATAACTTTGTAGTTGTTGGTGTTGGGTGTAAAACTATTTTAAAAACGTATGAGTTTGTGACTCGTGATTTGTATGGAAAAGCCATATTACCCAAAAGCCATTAGCCATTCTCTACATTTTACAGATTGTGTTAAATGCACATGACATTGTTACCTATGTCACACAAGCATTACAGTGAACTTTAGTGTATATGTAGATAAAAGTTGTAGATAAACAAACTGCAGTGGTCCAAAAGCAAGGCGCTCCGCCCGACATAGAACCCCTCTTCCCTATACTACCATTGGCTACAACCCTGTGTTCTGGGCTTAGATTCCTGCAGAAATTGCATTTGTTTCTGGTGCATGTGAAAACAGATTTTTCTGCAGTCAAACTGGACCAACATTACTAAAAGCAATATACCGGTATACTTTACTGAATAGCTACAGATCGATTAGTTTAAAACTAAAAGTGAAGCTATTCAGTATGAAGTTACTTAGTTTTGTTATCATAAATCATACACCACAAATAATAATATATTTCATTACCCCAAGTATTCCAGTTCTCTCACAAAGGATCCATCCTACCATCCAATCAATATCACTACGATGGTTTGGTAAAGCCAAGGCATGTTCGTTGCCGATCAGTTCATAATCTTCCTTCTTGCCATAAAACTTTATGTCAAGTTGTCCCCACCATTCACCAACAAATGTTAACACTAATAAGACGAGGACCCAGTTAGCAGATGACTAAAAGGTGCTTATACCAAGAAAACTAAAGTTGGAAGGAAGTTATAGTTGGAAATTGTATTTACAAAGAAATTCCTGTAGGAATAGTCTATTTAGTAAAATTCCTATGGGATCTCGTATAGGAATTTGAATAAGGGAATTGTCCCTCACTCATCCAGAGTTTCTACTGTATACAGGACCAAACCTGGATGGCTCCAACAGTTCTGAACTGCTATCCTGAAAGGAGCAGCAATTGTCATCTCTTATTGCCAGTGCTAACACAAGAGGAAAATGCAACCAAGTTGTACCACTGTGCTGTGAATGCCAGCGCCCAACAATGCAAATTAACAATATAGAATCTTGTACGTACTTGCCCAGTGTGAGTAACACAACACAGCATTAACACGTCTGAAAACATTGTGTGAAATATACCACAGCGGCAGTAGAAGTATTTGAATGGAATTCACAATGAGACCACTTAGAAAAAACACTGTGACAAGCCAGATCCAAACAAGCCAGGATCTTTTGAAACTTTTTAATGAAGACATAACCCTGAATCTCTCTGCTAGAAAACTGAAAAGAAACAACATTGTCACCACGTATTGTATGCATACTTTCCTCAATTGTGAAGTTTAAATTGTTAGCTTCTAATACAGATTGAAGTGTGCATCTTTTCTAGAACAACCCAATTTGCTTGTCTGTGCACACAAAACAATAACTTGGAATCGAGGCGGCCAGCCGATTTTCCACAATGCAGAATTTTGCATGTGGAGAAAAAAGCATTTATCTTGGGATTTCTCGGGTGGAAAAATTCCACTCTGTGTGCAAAATTCCAATTAGTGGAAAACCGACTTATGATGACCTTGACATGTTAACAATTAATACTACCATTTGCAAGCAACCGCAAAATCCAAACTTTTTTTCACGTTTCAAACGTACACGATGGGCGGGTCAAACATGCATGTTGAAATGTAACAACATTTAATTTGAACCGCGAAATAGTTACGTCTGGGCGAGATTTGTCAAACGTAACTATTTCGCGGCTCAAACTAATTGTTGTTACATTTCAACATGCACGGTTGACCCACGCATTGTGTACATTTGAAACGTAAACAAACGTGAAAAAAGTTTGGGTTTTGCGGTTGTTTGCAAGTGGTAGTATTATATCTTTTATATTGCCATGCAAACCTACAAAGAACTTATGTTAACAAATGTCACAACCAAATGGAAACCAGGTGACAGCCATGGTGCAACTCCTGGTCAACCAAATGGCAGTTTAATAAAGTATCAGAAATTATAAGAGAACATATCAAGTCAGCCATCATTTGTTGCAGCACTGCTGACTCAAACATACCAATTGGTTAGTGTTATAAAGCAAATGAGTGCTTGTCAAGAGCTAGATGTGGGACAGACAGAAGAAAATTTATACATTGCAACACGTTATTAGAAATTTTTCTCAAAGCAGAAATAATTATTTTTTACACTCTGCCCTAATAAAAAATACATAAAAAATAGCAAATACATACCAAAAGCTTGAACTTTTAATGGAAATTACAGGTAATACCAGAACACGACAACAGACGATTTCCTCCGCAGTCCAATCACTCACATGCCCTCAAACCCCGCCGGCAAAATTAATAGACATAAGACAGACGGCTGTCAAAAATCTATACCTTGCAGAGCACAGTTTTAAAAATTGTAGCAGCTACAAATAACTTTCTATTCTTTTATAGAACGATGTATTTTCAAACAAAAGCCACGCGCGGTACAAGTTCATTCAGTAAAAACAAAAATTTTAAATATGCATGTTGAATGTTGCGCAATATTTGCGAAGAGGACATTCAAAGACTGGGAACGAGCTTGAAAATGATGGTCAACACTCTAGTGAAAAAGAAACGTATAAAGATCAGTGTTTTAGTCATATACCGTCGTTGGCAGCGAACGATGAAAAGTCCCAAATCAAAATATCAGCCAACCTCTGAAACCTTCAAATGCTTGTTACAAACAAGAGAATAGAAAATGTTTCAAGCACACGACAGTAATACACTTTAATTGCTGAGATCTACAAAATTTTCATTAACATCCAATCATATTCAAGGATATGCATGACATCATTAGTTGTGTATTTCAATACCAGACCCCATTGTTTTGGTGCCTTTCTTTCTACCGTGACGTGGTTTACGACTGTCCTCAACAACAGCTGATCGCTGTACTCCTTTAGCTGGCTTGATAGGTTCGATAATTGTCCCAGGCAAGGTCACAATACGCGGTTTGATCAGCTTTTGGTGAACTGAGGTGGTGTTCCAGTCCTTTCCTAGAGGAACGCGCACACTTCGCTCCCATTGATCACGTGATGTGAATGGGAACGGCAATTGGCTAACCTAAATTGAAAAACACATTGATAGTAAAATATTGAACAGCCAATAGAGTCATTGTTCTGAAACAATGAAGCCATTGTTCTCAGACAATAAAGCATTATTCTCAGACAATATATAAGGCATTGTTCTCAGACAATATAAAGACAATATAACCATTGTCTTAAGAACAATGCATCATTGTTCTAACACAATGGATCACCACATTACCTGATTTTTAGCAAACTTCTTGTCTCTATCTTCATTGATAATCACATGTGCAAGTTTGTTGTCTTTCCGAGCTGGCACAGGCTTTGCCGGAACTGTGAATTTCTTTCTCCGCTTCGTTTCATCAATTCCCGGTCCAGCCCAGTCTCCCCAACCTGGTAAACTCAGATCCAGATCCTTGGGTTTGTTTGCTTCCGTTGCGTCGGCTTTTTCTTTTACAAATTCCTCGATGACATCATCATTCGCAAACGCTTCTTGGATTGTCATTCTTTGTGCACGTGTTTCACTGTCACTATCATCAGCAGTGTAGTTCAACAAGTCATTCTGTCGTCCCAAATCTTCAATTTGGAAGACATTTTTTGGATTCAAAGTACTCTTCATTTCAGAGACAATTTCTGTCGTATCCGTAATTTCCAGGTCTCGAGTCTGGGAACTTTCAAGATCTTCTATCCCATCTCCTTCTATCAACAACTGTACATGATCATCCCCAAATGTTCTATCTTGTTCAGTTTCCTCCACGATGTCCTCATCAATCCCACTCTTCACCAACTTTGCTTTCTTGCTTTTCTTCGACTTTTCGTTCATTCTATTTTCGTCTGTAATTTTTCTTTTCTTTTTCTTACGTTCACTTGTCTTTTCAACACCACTAATTTCTTTACCGTTTCCTTGTGAAACAACCTTACTCTTCACTTTTCCCTTCGTTTTTATGCCATTTTCCTCAAGGTTTTCCACTTCGCCTCCTTCAACATATTTACTTCCTCATTATTTCCTTTCGAAAGAACTTTTTTCTTCTTTCCTTTGATTTTCCCTTTCTTTTGTATGCCCTCTTCCCTGATGTCGTCAACTTTATCTCCCTTCAATTTCTTTCTTTTCCCCCTGCTCCCCTCATCATTATTCTTTCCTTTAATACTCTTTTTCTTTCTTCTCTTCTTTCTCTTCTTTCCACTTTCCTGCGCTCCACTTCCATCCATCAATTCAAACGTCTCATCTTGGTCAGAATTATCCGAGACATTTTCGTCTTCATCACCTTGTCCTTCCTTCGTTTCTTCTGCAGTTATTGCCTTCAGTTTTCTCAACCGTTCTTTTGTGTTTTCATGTTCTAAATGTTATTACAAGAAAAACATTATTTTATCTTTTATTTTTTTTTTATTATTTTATCTTTAATACCAGTTTCCTCTTGTACCAACAATGGCTGCTTACTGGACCTTAAGCCCATTTTCCACTAGGCGAAACGAAAAGCAAATCTTGGCAGTGATTGGTCAGCGAAAAAATTCGCCGCGAAAAAGTTGGATCAGTTCCTACTTTGTTACTGTTCGCGCGAACAAATTCGCCTAGTAGAAAATGGACTTTAGGGAGAACAGTTTAGAACTAACCGGTATAAATGTTAATTGTATGTCAGCTCAATGCCTTGATTAGATTCAGTCGTCCCAATTTCTACCAGTCAACTGCACTGAATGTTGCTTTAGTTATTTTTTCGTCCGTAACACACAACTCAGTTAACTGCGGAGTTTAGAAAACATTTTAAAATAAATCAATCCAAACCTTCAGTTACTTCGTTCATGTTTTCTCTTTCTTTTCCATCGTTCAGAAGCCAAGGATTTTCCGAACTATCACCGACCAGTCCAAAATTTCTAAAATTCTCGGGAATCTCCGCGTCATCTTCGGCTTTATTTCCCTCCTCTTCGTCACTATCCGACTCGACTGTTTTCGTCTCAGTTAACTGTCGGCTTATCCGCAGTTGCTCGGAAAGAGCTTGTCGCGCCTAAACGGTTAAGAGCTAGTGGTAAAGAACAGGTTGTTTTTCTCTTTTATTAATGAAGTGACCAAGACAAGAGCCGGTTTTTCACAAGGCAATTGGCCCAACCCGGAGTTTATATATGATTAAGTCAAATTGCCTTTTGAACAACCGCTTTTCTTGTGTAAATAAAACGACATTATTAGAAGTAGCTTTAACGAAAGAATATGCGATTCACCTGAACGTCATTAATGCCTTTAGCAATGATGTTTTTCGCCCACTTTGAAGTATTCCGATGTTTTAAGCTCATTCTTTCCTACACAAACATAGCAAATACTTATTCATATCTCAAACGTTGGCGAGCATTATCAATATACTACCAACACTAGACTGGTAGTAATCATATAGTAATCTGCAATAAGTTGTCGTGATTTGTGTCTGAACTACTTGAAAAATATATCTCAAACGTGATGGTCCAATGCAGGTAGTATTGTACAATGTGGTGTGGGTCTGAACTACCCGAATGACATCTCAAACGTAGGGTCCAATGCACACTGTAGGTAGTATAATCTACAACTATATAAGCTGCTGTGATGTGGGTCGATCTGAATTCTGAACTAGGCTGAAAAAGATATCTCAAACGTGTTAAGGAATAAAGTAAAGTGAATGTATTTCTATCTCTGTGTTTTTGTTTATTTTCTTTTTAATAATGTAAATAACTGTTATACTTATAGACACACGGCCTAATGAAAAGCAACCATTTTAATTTGTCTGTATATATTTTGTAATAGTTGGGTTGATTAGACACCGTGTTAAAAGATGTGAAAATAAATAATTAATAATAGCAGTTGTGGTTTCAGTCTGAGCTGAATTTTTTTCAGGTCGCTCAAGCGCAAACCACAGTATCAGACACACACTTGCTTTTTTCATAATACAAGTCTATACTCCAACAAGCTTGGAAATTAAAATCTGGTACCTGAACGCGCAGTTTTTCAGCTTTTTCCAGTTCAACTTGAGCTAGTTCAGGATTTTCTTTTTGCAACTGTTCAAATGTTTGTTTACTGTTTGCCCTTTTCTCAGCTCTACGTTTTATACGGTGGTACCTGAAACAGCAAATACAATTATTATGGTAAATGGCACTCTTTCGCAGTAAGTTAAAAATTGATCAAAGAATGTTATGTAACATACTTTTTACTCTTGATTTTCTTCATTCTTCGGCATTTTTGTTCATAGTACGATTGTAAAGCTCGCAACTTCTGGAGCTCATGACGTCTTTCAAGAGCCTTTACAAAAAACATAAAAGACGTCATATTTATTTAATTCTGAGTTTGACAGAGAGTTTCTTAATTCCTACAAACTAGGCTAAGACACACACCTCTTCCAAACTCATATTCTTCAAAGCTTCTTCTTCCTCAAGACTCAATTCTTTATCTTCTCGTTCTAACATTTGTGAACTATTCTGAAGCACATTTGCTATCTCTTGTTCCAATGGAGTACGAGGCTTAAATAAAGAAGAATGTCGTTTGATTACCATTGTAAATTAATCATGTAACAGGGTCATAAACAACTCTAATAAAGCCTGGAGTCCCAAGACAGCTTGGAATTCTTTAGGATCAGTATTTTGCTGCTCATAGCAAGACTGCAAAAAAATGTAAATCTCAAAAAATTTTTAAAAAATAAATGAAGAAATACAGTACATAGAGCTCTCAACCACAATGCTAACAGCAGAGAATATGCACAATAAGCACAATGCTAACAGCAGAGAATATGATTCAAATGAGCTGTCAAGTCCAGTACATTGAGAATTTGAATATAACTGTTATGTAACAACCTCAATTGAAATAGTTGTTGCCGTAATACCTTGAAAGTTGTTGCCAACGTCGTAGTGGACATTTCTGCAGGTTTATAGGCATCTAGTGGGAATGACAACTGCTGAGCCTACAATGAAAAATGCATGAAAGTTTGGTTTCTTCAACAAGGTTTTGCTTGTGAGAGAAACATTATCCTACTTACACGTCTGTTTTTCTGAACTGTTGCATCCCATTTGCCAATGTCTTTTGAAGTTTCTTCATAAGCAACAACTCTTTGAATCTATGATTAACATTTTATCAAGTTAAACTCGCTGCATGTAAACTGGCTTTTGGTGAATAAAACTACCTTTTTGCTGATATGGTAAATACATAGTGTTGGTGACACATGCACAGGGAAAAAAAATACCATTAATGGGTTTTGAATCATTGAATGGTTTTTAAAGATTTACCATATATACTATCACTGTGAAAACTCTACTCTTACGTATGGCTTACCATTATTGGTTATTATAGATTTCCCATATGGTAAATTGGTAAAAAACCATGTTTAATATTTACCATTTTAAGGTATTTTCCTGGTAAATATTAATTAAACATCATCATGGTTTTCACTAATTTACATTAACAACGTTTCTGTGATCTCAGTATGAATTTTTTCGGTAAATTATATGTTTTGAAGGATTTGTAAGAAATATTTGAGCAAACTGAATTACTGTTAAACAATGAATCAGTTTCCTCCAAACCTCAAAATAAACCTATGCAAAGTTCCTACTGTAATCACAGAAACTTTAATAGTGTAATTAACCAGGCTTTAGGAAGTAACATTTTGAAACTGATCAAACTATCCATAACTATAAATTAGTGAATCATACCCGCTCAGCTGCAGGTTTTGCCAAGGGAACTTCCACTATATGCCCCATCTTCTGTAAGCTTTCCTACAAAAGAAAAAAATAGTTTTACTATAAGTTGATATGATTGTATATATGGACTTGACTGAATAAAACTAAGCATCTTTTGTGAAGTCAAGGCGTACCAGTGATTTCTTGAGTTTACTGTGGTAACTTGATGTTTGTAGTGAGCCAACAAGATCACCAAGGTTGACACGACCATCATCACCTGTAACAAAATAGAATTATTTACAAACAATTCATTCTAGTGGCAGAAAGTGAAGTACTTTAATTGTGGCATGATATACTGGAAATAAAGCAGTATGTTGAACAAACCTTCTGACTTCAAATGAAACTCAGAAACATTTTGGTTTAATTCAGACCGCAGCGGTCCTTTACGCCTAAAATATATGAGATCCGGTTCATAAATCATCGGTTTGCTTTAGACAACAAATTTACTTAATTCAGCAACAAACCTCTTAGAAATTCCTTTCTTGTCAAGAGATTTGATTTTCTTCAACAAATCTTCATGATCAACTTCTTCCTCACTTCCACTCTGAACAACAAAAAATATATGTTAATGGCCATAGAAAAATAGATTTTATCCTGCATTTTCACCTTGTTCTGTGATCTCCTACACCACGTTTGTCAACCAGATCAGTCAAAATTTTGAAGAGAAAATTTTTTCAGTTTGTTTGGTGGTTGTGGACCACTTGCATCTCCTCCCCCCCCCCCCCCCCCCCCCACCCCACCATCCTAATCATGCAATCATACATTGGCCCTTTGTTTTTATATAATATTGTTTTTATATAATATTGTTTTTATATAATATTGTTTTTGGGCCTACAAATATTTTCAAAAGCATTTTTAAGAACATACATCACTTTTATCATCATTGTCATCCAACCACTGCTGCTCATCTTTTTTTGCCCTAGTTGTTAATCTAAAAATATCAACAAGTACAAAATTTAGGAACATGCAAAACACGTGTTCAAATATAAATTTAAATGCTCTTTAATATAATATACTTATATAAATTCAGTTTTTCAAACTTAATAAACATATATTCTACAAGAACACACACTAAAATCAACAATTATTATCTAGAATTCATGTTCCTTTACTTCTTACAGTATATTTTACATTAATTAACTAAATATCATGAGGAAAGCGTAGAAAACTCACCTGAGTAGCTCTGAAACTGCCGCCATCTTGGAAAAATCCAGGGGGGTGAAGACTGAAGAGCTTATCAAATATCACGGGGGGTCAGCAATGAATGATAAACATAAACACAAACATGGCAAGCAAAAAAGTGATATCTGTCAATGAATCGTCGGTAAGTTGCAGTAATTTTTACATTTGTCAATTTTCTGGAAAGTTTAGAAAGTATTCATGTTGTTTCTTTAGCTTGTTGACTTAAAAGCGGAGCTTTACCGCAAAGAAACGCAGTTGAAACGCGAAAAAGTTGATAATACTCAGCCAAAGGTACCTACTCAGACAGTACATTTATACATAGAAGTCTTGTATATGAACTATATTAACGGCATTTTCTTATATATCAACTGCAAGAGCTGTATTAACAGTCAGGCCTTTTTAATACAGACACTGGATAGAATACAGGACATACAGGCACACAGCATATTTGTGTCCAAATTATGTCCATATTAGAGTGGTGTCCGTTTTATGGAGGTTTTCTTTGAATAAAAAAATATATGAGAATAATGTTTATCAGGACATTAAAAATTGTCTATCAGAGTCGTGTCTGTAAAGGTACGTTTACACACTGCGATTTGTGCATGATTCATATTCTGGCATCAGGGCAGGAAAAAATTTTTTTTTTCCTGGGAGCACAACCTGGAGACAAAAATTTCCTGCTTAGCTGACCATGGTTTTAAATTCAAGAATGTCTGTCAACTGTATGTTGTTGCACCCATAGTGAGACATGGGTGTTTAGGTTTCCTTCAATTTTTCAATAGCAAATCTAAATTCAAACAAATTTCCTGCAACTCTTTAACATTTCCTGCGAGCATTGCTTGCGTGCTCGCCTATTTTTTCCACCCCTGTCTGGCATATCAAAGTTACTGCTGGTCTACAATTGCTCTTCATTTTATAGTTTATGGCAAAATTTGAAATGGAACCTTTATAACACTTACATGCACTACCACTTTGCATGCGACAGAATATGAATCGTAGACGACAAATAGCAGCATGTAAACATTAGCCTAATGGAGGTCTGACTGTACTTGTTATTAATTCTTAAATCTCAGAAAGCACCAATTTGGCGAAAGAAGAAGAAAGAATCCAAAAGAAAGGATGGAAAGACCGAAAAGATCACATCAACAGATAGTACTTATGATAAAGAATTAGAAAAATCAAGGTTGCCTGATGATATATGTAATTTTGTGCATATATTTAAAATTATTATGTAATAACATTAAATTCTGATTTATGTCAAATCATTCCAGGCTAATGTTAGAAGCCAAATCGGCACTGTATGATAAATTATCTAATGGAGATATTGAAGGTATTACATAGTCTGGTTTAGTTAATAATTGTTTAGTAGAGGAGCCACCTTAATATAGAGTGTTAAAGTAATGTATGTCATCTCATATGAACTGTTTATGTACATTTAGCCACCTTAATTTATATTGTTAAGGTGATGCAAGCCACCTTAATATAAAGTGTAAAAGTACAGTGAGCCACCTTAATATGAATATTGATCATATAAATTGGGTCACCTTGATATGAACTATCCACTTTAATAAACTAGTGAAGCCATAGCCACCTTAATATTTGTTATATAAAGATGTACATACAGTGAGTAACCTTAACTTAAGTAACTGCAGACAGTAGATAACCACCTTAAGTTAATAAACTGTAGATATAGAGTGAGCCACCTTAACATTCTTTCACCTCCTTAGTCCCTTCAGATGAAGATGAAGAGGATGGAAGATTCTTAGTAGACTTTCATCAGAAAACTTTACCAAAGGTATATCAAATAGTCCTTATCTTTAGTATTGATTTAATCCCCAGGGGCTGCTCTCTTAGTAAGTTTCTGTATTTCTGCACATCTATTTGTTTCAAAACTTCAGAAAAAAACTCTCATTGATAACAAGTTGTTGAGAAATTTGCTTTGAATTTTGGGTTACCCTAAGGTTTAGACCAAGTAATTATTACTTTGACAGACTGTTGAAAATGAAGATAAGAAAGTCATTGATAGTTCTCAAGAGATCCCGCCAGCTGGGAGCCCTGATGAAGAGTGGTGAGTTAAAGACGCTGGGGCTACTTGTTAAGAGTACGGCACTTTTCATGCATGAACTATTGAACTGCATTTCATGCATGAACTATTGAACTGCATTTCATGCATGAACTATTGAAGTTAAATCAAAATTAATGTACATAGTGCTCCATGTGCCATTTAGGGTAGAATATGTAGACTCCTTTGGGAGATCAAAGATGTGTTTGAGGAAAGATTTGCCACAAATGAAGGAAAAAGATGGAAAAGTTAAATTGAAATCTTTGGAAGAAAGGTGGGCATCCTGCTGTATATTTTTATGCCTATTGTGAGAATAAAGAAAAACAAAATTGTCTTATTTCTCTCGTTTTTATGAAGCAAGCTAACGTTGTTGTCTGATGATATGAGACGAGAATTAATGAGAAAGAAATGGGAGCAGGAAGTGCAGGAAGCTTTGGATAAACCGGATGGTCCAATACATTACCAAGACATGTTTGATGGTGAGGGATAACTCGGATCTAAATAGAAAATTGGGTTTGCTCAAAACTTTCAATGTTCATAGGTTTTAGTAATGTTTGAACTAAATTGAGAAAAAATGTTTGAACTAAATTGAGAAAAAATATTTTTGTATTAGAAACACGCGATCATGGTGTTGGTTACTACCAGTTTTCCAAAGTTGAGAAAGAAAGAGAAGAACAGCAAAGTGCACTTAATAAAATGAGAACACAGGTAATTATATCATTTATGTGAACGATCTTTCTGTAAAGTCCGAGAGAAGAATTGCAATTGAAATTATTTTTCCTTCGAGTGAAAAAGTTGATCAAGAATTATGATGAGGTTTTAAAAAACCTACAATATCTGATATATTACATTATTTATGTACTCCTTTGAATGACACCATTGCTATCCATATACCAAATACTTTAAACACTGCCTAAACCTTTGAAGCGATACAAAAATGGTGCTACTATATTGTAGACTGAACAACAACGAAGCAAGCGCGAAAAACTCTTGGAGAAACGGAAGGCGGCGATGGACGCACGTTTAGCAAAAATACGAGAACGAAAACAACGGAAATTGCACGAAGCAGGAGTGGTTGAGAACACGCAAGAGCAGAACGAGAACACGCAAGAGCAGAACGAGAACACGCAAGAGCAGGGCGAGAAAACGGAAGAAGTTTCAAGTGAAAATGAGGGAAATGATGAAATGTCCATTGGCGCGATGGTGGAGAGAATACGAAACAAGAGTACGAAAGTTGAAAAGGCACATTTGAATGAATGGGAGAGAGGAAAAGTTGGTAAGAATGAACGACGTTATGATTCATTTTCAAGTGAACGAAAGTGTAATATGGCAAAAATATTGGATTTGTTGTCGATTGTTTTTTATTATACTATATATCATACTGCAAGTATCGATATTTCTTATTGAAACATCTGCTGACGAAAGACTTCACTCGAAACATGAGAACTGAGGATTAATCTAAAGAGTTTTAGTTTTTTAGTTATAATAAGCTTTCGTACATTTATACGAGGAGTTAAACAACAGAGCAAACTCCAATCAAGTTCAAACACCAAGCACGGCATATTAAGATCAGAGTATTAAGAATTTAAGATGCCATTTGTTTGTGATATTTTTCAACTACTGAGATGTATTCAGTTAATGTTGTTTTTTTTTCTTTAAAGATCTTGAAACATTCGAGAAACCGAAAAGAAAGACGCCAAGCTACGACCCACGAAGTGAACGAGATCCAGAATTCGCTCCACCTTCGTTCTACACAAACGAGAAGAAAAACTGTTCGAGAAAAACTAACTGGAAAGCAGACAATCAAAGAGCAGGCATTGCTATAAATACAGAGGTTCTGAATAGCCATGCGCAAGCAACTGGACATAATTTGAACAATCAACCAACATCGGAAATGTGTTCAAATATCTCAAACTCTTCGACATCTCAAACCTCAATAGCCCAAAATTATCAAGCTTCCTTTGATTCCACGTCTTCTAATATTCAAAACACGAATTCTTATTTTCAAAGCATGAATCCCAACGTTGCAAACACGAATCCCAATCTTCATAACACGAATCCAAATGTTCAAAACACGCATCCCATTGTCCATAGTGGAACGAATCCTTATGTTCACAGCACGAACTTCAGCGTTCAGAACACGTTTCCCAATCTCCCACCCCCTCCCATTCACACTTTCCCACCTCCCAACTTTCCTCCACCATTATTGCCACCACCATACCAGTTACCACCACAATTTCCACCAAACATGCCATATCCGCCTTATTACCCCCCACCATTACCCAATAACCAGCAATATCATAATGATGTACCCCAATAACCCATAAACCCTGATTTGGGAAACATGAATAGCAGGAACCAAATCTCTTCATAAAGAGAAATTAAACTTGAAGAAAAGACGTGAAACGTTTCAAGATATAGTTAATATTAAGGATTTAAGCTCTTTAACCTGTACTGAATTGAATAATATATATGTAATTCGCGCAATCAAATGGTTTCTTATAGTACAATTTGAAACCCTTGACGAAGTGCTATCCTAATGATTTTTTATTTTCTTGAAACCAGACGACCGAGTATTTATAATGAAATTTTATATTCATCGTGAGCTATATATTTGTAGTTTAGCAGTCAGTTGAAAAATGAGGCTGAATTACTGTAATAGTTTGCAGTGTTTTTTTGTAAAATACGAGTTCACGATCACCAACGATGTATGTCCGAACGTTGTACGAATGTGCCGATGTTTATTCGAAACCTTGCCGAGTGGGTGCCGAAGCTTCATAGCAACACAAAATGGCGTCCGTATCGACTGAAGACTAAAAAACAATATTAAAACGACGTTTGTTGTTGTTTATTTCAACGAAAATCATGGTTATTCTTCACATAAAGAAAGGAGACGGAAGTCAGTTTCTTTACGAGACGACATGTCAAGCTAAACTGTCGGAATTAATTCCTGAATTAATAGAAATTTACAATGGGCGGCTGAAAATAGAACGACTAAATTATGGTGGGTTTATTGTTGTTTTGGTATAGGTTTAAGTGGAGACAAATTACCGATAATAGTTTTGTGCTAAAGAGCGTGTGTTCTAATATCCTAGAGCTAGAGGAGTTAGGCAAACATGGCATAACTTTGCCTCCAAATATGCAAGGCTTGACTGAAGATCAGATCAATGATTTAAAACTACATGACAGCTGGGCAGAAAAGTGTGTACCCAGTGGTGGTGTTAGAGAGGTCAAAGATCCTATGAGTAAAAGAAATGGTCAAGGTAGGCTTATTGCTTAATGAAAAACTAACACCAATTGTTAAAAAAGGGGTGCACCCCCCCAAAAAAAAACAACTCAAGCCCCACCTTGGAAAAAGTTAAATATGCCAACTATTTGTTGCCAAAGTTTTCATGGCTGACAGCATCTTTCACGGAAGAGCCATAGTGGTAAAACAATCATGCCTATCCTCTCCCTGGAAAATCTACGCATCTGCCAGATCATACACAAGTTGCCCTGTTTAAATATTCCCAAAATATTAAATAATTTCCTACAACAATTCATAGTCACATATTGTCTGAAGCAAATGATAGCCTGGCTACCTTTAACTAAGAATGGATACTTCTTTTTATTTCAGCTCCTTTAGAAAATATGATCAAGATGGTCAACAGAACAAGAAGCGAAGCTATGGCAGATATATCAAAGGTTCACTAAAACTAACTTTGTCATATACTGGTTTTAGAAGGGAATTGCTCACAAACTAACCAATGAATTGACCTAAGAAACAAGGGCTCATCCTTCTATTAGTGTGTTGTTTGCTTTTGGTTTTTGGACAACATACCATATGAGGTGTTGAATGTGGTTGTCTAGATCTGTCTGACTTAAAAAGATGCATGTAATCAATTGAATATTCTTTAAACTATAGGAAAATGTCACAGCCAAGAGATGTCTAACACAAGCTACAATAAAAGATGCATTGGATAAATTACGTGGTGCAGTCATGATCGTCTATCCAATGGGATTACCTCCTCATGATCCCATCAAACAAGAATTTGAGGATACAGAAGACCTTTCTGGTACACAGGTATTAATGGCAATGACTGGAAAGACCCCCCCCCCTGGTAAAAGGTCCTTGTTCACCCCAGCCCCCTGCTACAATGTCCTTTGTTCATCCCTGGCTTAAAGATCTTTCAATTCCCCTTTATCCTCAACCTTGATTTTCATGTATATTTTTATTAGGCATCACTCCAGGTCTTAGACAACAAAACAGGTCAGTTATGGTGGGCTGGAAAAGAACTATTGAGAGCAAAAAAACTTGAAGATTACATTGGAAAGAATGAGAAAACTAAAATTGTTGCTAAACTTCAAAAGGTACTGGAAAGGTTGAATGTGTGCAAAGATGAAGGGGGATCGTCCCACTCCAGATGTATATGGATCTCACTTGGTGCATCCCTAATATGAAATTCATGCATGGTTAACCCCCCCCAGAATCTCTCTAACCCCTCAAATAAAGTGTTCAACCCTCCTATTTTGTGTGAAAAGCTTTAACCCAAACGCCTAACCCCTGCCGAAGCTCACTGAGTGGTGCCGCTTGCACCCCACCAGAAATTTTTCTACCCCTGCTTTTACAGGAATAACAATCCACCCTTGAATTCATGGGGAATAAATTATGCAAATATTTGGTCAATATTTGTTGCAGAAAGGTCAAGGTGTGCCAAGCAGGGAACCAGTGTTTACTGAAGAAGACAAAAAACATATGATGTCCTATGCTTATAAGAAACAAGAAGAGATGAAGGTCTGTAGTACATTTCAAACATGTCTTGCATTATGGGATTAAGAATACCTCTAGAGAGAGCAGGCTGATTTCTGTACAATTCTAAAACCAAGTAAGTCAAACTATGATCCATACATAATTAAAAATTGTTATTGCCCATTTCATTATAGAAACTCGAAACAGATGATGATGTATCGTATATGAATTCATCCTGGGCTGATACACAATCTTTAAAGCGACAGTTTCAAGGAGTTCGAGATGTTAAATGGAGACCATGATTATTGGAGCAGAGTGCAGTATACTTTCAACAAGAATATAGTTTCGACTTAGGCATACTACTGTGCATGTAAAGAAATGAAATGCTTCACGCTCTTTTTGTAATACATTTCTGCTCTTGAAACTTATCATGTAATGCAAAAATGACCTATTTAAACAGAATATCCATTTACTGTATTGTAAAAATTGGTTTACAAAAACACAACATTACAATAATCTAAAAGAGACATACAGTACTGGAAGTTAAATTTATTCAATTAACACAAATTTGTTAATGTTTGTACAATACTTTGCATATTATAAATAAATATTATTTTCTGTGTATAAATCTAAATTTAACGGCAATTATTTCAAACTGGTCTATACACATTTTTGTAACAATTGTGTAGAGTTACAACTGGATCGGCAATAGGACTAGTGTTTAATCCTCTATTGTTTAATCATGTCTAACAAAGGGAAATGAAAGTGAAAATAGATTTAATTAGCCGCATATTTCATTTGCGCTGCGATGTAAAACGAAAAAATATACATTTGGAAAGACACTCGACGACCAGACAATGATTGCATGTCTAGAAAGTTCAACTCAACTTATTTGATCGTACAATAGTTCTAAGATTTTTCAAATTCAGTAAGAAGTCCCTCACACCACAATGTAACAGCAAGTTCCACGCGTTCCTCAGATGTCAGCGGTAGATCGCAGACAGCAACTGGGGTGGGAGTGCGGTGAAGAATGAGCAAAGCATCACGGTAATGTACTGGGAACTTCAATTTATTACTCTCCTAAACAAGACAATGGTGTGACAAAGTGGTTGGTCACATGCAAGATGTTATTTGCAATTCAAAATAAGCTTTCTACTTTCCATTTTAGACTTCCTCGCCAGGGTCGTAGCTAGAGGGCCGTGTTGGCCGTGTTATCGCGGCCAAAAAGGGAAAAACACGGCTAGATAAAATGAACGCGGTTTCATTATTTATATAAGGTCGTGTAGGCGCATAAAATAACAGACAGAATTTCTTCCTATTCACTGTACGTTGTAAGAAAGTTTGTAAAATCTACGGTTATTGTTGAAATTGGCGGAAGTGATCTGCATGTGATGTTTTGGTGGATAATGGGAACTGTATGGTGTTAAAATGGTTTTAAAAACCCCCAAGAGTTGCTGAAAAAACTTAATATTTTAATGTCAGTGCGTAATATGAGCGTATGCTCGCCTGGTAATTGGTTGCAAAGCATAGAACCACCACAGGCATTGTCTGTTGTTGGCGAGCATAACCAGAACCGTGAATTTTTGGCTATTTGAGGTAATTGACATGTGCACACCCTGGTCATTTAGAAAGATCTAAAATCCTAGCTAAGACCCTGTTCCTCGCTACCAATCAGTTGAAATGTTTGTATAATTTGTTGTATGATTTGTGTAAACAAATTGGTGGTAAATTTAATAAATTCAAATACTGACCTTTTCATGATCTTCATCTTCTTCACCAAGGTCTTCTTCATCATCTGAATTAATGCTGTTGTTCAATGAATGATATAAAAAAATACAAGGTTTACTTTGAAAAGTGTCATCTAGTTCTTCTCCATCACTGGCCATTTCTTCATCTTCATCCTCCTCTTTCTTCTCTTTAATATCAGATTTGGATTTCTGAGATTTCTTCTCTCCTTTACTCTTGCTGTCTTTCTGAGATTTCTTGTTCTTTTTCTCGGAATCTTCATCCTGAAACAGAGTACAGTGCACGCATTAACTCCATGGGAATCTTAAGATTTATTATATTATATTGAGTTTTTCACTCATTGGTGAGCGGATTTCCAAACAGGTTATTGCGCAGTTGATAGGGGATCCTACGATTTTAACGTCCTTATCCGAGAAGACGCGAACGTCTAATCATTTACCGATGTTAGTGTAAAGGTAGCTCTTTCTCCTCAATTATTTTAAGACTATGAGTGGCAGGGTGCGATCATTCAAGATTTCTAGTCGTACCTGACTGGCACGCCAATGGTTGTTGAGGCGTACTTGCGCTAGAACAAACTCATAAAGTACAGGTTTCTGAAAAGTATGTTCAGACTACGAGATAGCAAACGGAGTTTTGCTATTTGAAAAGGGAGTTTTGCTTTTGAAAAGGGAGTTTTGCTATTTGAAACGGGAGTTTTGCTATCCGAAAAGGGAGTTTTGCTATTTGAAAAGGGTGTTTTGCTATTTGAAAAGGGAGTTTTGAAGATTTGAAAAGGGAGTTTTGCTATTTGAAACGGGAGTTTTGCTATTTGAAAAGGGAGTTTTGCTATTTGAAAAGGGAGTTCTGCTATTTGAAAAGGGAGTTCTGCTATTTGAAAAGGAAGTTTTGCTATTTGAAAAGGGAGTTTTGCTATTTGAAAAGAAAGTTATGCTATTTGAAACCGGAGTTTTGCTATTTGAAAAGGGAGTTTTGCTATTTGAAACGGGAGTTTTGCTATTTGAAAAGGGAGTTTTGCCATTTGAAAAGGGAGTTTTGCTATTTGAAAAGAGAGTTTTGCCATTTGAAAAGGGAGTTTTGCTACTTGAAAAGGGTGATTTGCTATTTGAAAAGGGTGTTTTGCTATATGAAACGGGAGTTTTGCTATTTGAAACGGGAGTTTTGTTATTTGAAAAGGGAGTTTTGCTATTTAAAAACGGAGTTTTGCTATTTCAAACAACCGACTCCAACGTTTCTTAGTGCCATCAATGCAATCATGTTGCATGCCAAGACATCTCAGACACATGATATACCAACTAAATTACGGTATTGAATACCTTGGACTTGGAAAGGTCATGTGGTACCACGTACCACGCAGGTACGCGGAACTCTTGCTATCTAGCAAGAGTTCCGCGTACCTGCGTGGTACGTGGCTGAAAACAAAGAAGTACCAGACAGTAATACGCGAATTATCGCACCCTGTGGGTGGAAATCCGATCAATAATGAAAAAATGGCTTTGGGGACCAAAGCTTGTTGTCCATTGTTTGGAGGAGAGAAGCATGCGGTAACAACCAAGTGTTTCAGATCGCGAGCACAGCATTCTGTTGAATAGAGTATGCAGGGTTTGTAGTCTCCAAGACCAAAAAAATTCAAAGACTTTCAAAGATTTTTTCTGCCTATTGTCAAAGACTTTTCAAAGACCTTTGAGAGCAATCAGGTGTCGAAAAATTGCGATGTATAAGCACCATTTTTACCAGGTAATTAGTCCCGTCAAATCACATCCTAAAATGCACTTTTTCGCCGACATTTGCGAAAATCGTGCTTCAATCAATCTATTTTATTAGCTAGGAAATCGTAAAATCAAATAATCACTAAAGAATTTAAGGACTCTTAAAGACTTTCTTCGCTTTTTCACACAATTCAAAGACTTTTCAAAGATCTTAAAGACCTGCATTCAAATTTAAAGACTTTCAAGCCAATTCAAGGAATTCAAAGACCGCTACGAACCCCGAGTATGTGAGTAGCGGTGCCATTGTTTAAAGTGTGACTAACCCCAAATATGATTTTTGGTATGTGTAATATTTGGGTCATTCTAAGAAGAAATGTAATGTATCTTTATAGTAAAAAACCTCATCTTGATCAACTTTTTCACTGTCAAAGTTTCCGTGTATGAGGTCATTGGGCCAAATAAAAACAAAAATTGGTTAGCGTCACTCTCTCACAAATTTTCGGAGGCGGGAGGGCGTGTTTTTTTTTTTAATTTTTACTCGTTTTTTAGATTTTTTAATAGTATTTTTTGAGGGGATGGGGGCGGTTTTTCCTGGTATATCGCCTTATCGGTGATATTTTTTGTACTGATGTTGCGAGGACAGCCATTTCGCTCAAGCCCACGCGCTCCTAATCGATCAGTATATAGCGCAAAGGTCTGAGCATGAGAAAAATTTCAAATATTAAACTGTTTTAAGCAGTAAAACGAAGAGATTTGCATAAAAAACATTTAAAAAATTCAGAGGCGGCAGAAATCGAGAGGCGGGCGGTGACGCTAACCAAGTTTTTTTTTTATTTGGCCTTACAAGCACGATCCAATAAAAAAGTTTAGGGTCGGGATTTCGACGTCCAAAAGCTAGGTAGGGTCGGGAAACCGGAAACCCACATATTTTTTTTTTGGCCTAACTATATATCAATACGGAAAAACTGTTTTATATTTGTTTTATAATATAGCACAAAGAAATATAAAGAAAGAAATTTTCCGACGTTTCCGTGTTGACATTGAGTTATATCAACACGGCTCTTAGCCAATCAGTGTTCAGAATACGAATTTGATGTACGCTGATAAAGATCTAAAAATACTTAAAGTGTGTAACTGGTTAACTGCAAATAAACTATCTTTAAATATAAAAAAGACGCATTTCGTGATCTTTCATCCTTATCAAAAGAAGATAAATTATGAGGTAGATTTGAAGATATTTGACAATTCAAACTCTTTCATTTCTTTGGAACGTAAACATTATGTCAAATACTTGGGCTCCTTATTGACAGCAATCTTACATGGAAATACCATATTAGTCACGTTGCTTCAAAAATAAGTAAGACAGTGGGCATTATCTCCAAATTAAGGCATTTTGTACCTAGAAATACTTATAAATCTCTTATTCTTCCTCATATTTCATATGGCATAGCAGTATGGGGTCAGGCTGCCAAAGCTCATCTTGATAACATTTTAAAGCTTCAAGAACGTGTGCTTCGGTTAACCTACTTTGGGGATTATACATCCCATGCAATTCCTTTCTTTTCTTCTTCCAATATTCTACCTGTTGAGATGTTATACTTTAAATCTGTCTCTATTCTGATGCATGATGTACATAATAACTTGGCACCACTACATATATCAAATCTCCTTACTTATACTCATGACATACAGGACTATAATACCAGATTTTCTTCAAACGTCAACTTCTATGTGAAACATTCATGTTTAAATAAACTGAATAATTCTTTTTCCAGAACTGGCCCAAAAATATGGAATAGCATTCCATGTGACTTACGTAATTTTCCGATGAATAAATTTAAGAAAACATTACATAAAGTATTAGTTTCTATATATTTACAAATGAGGAGGATTATGTTGATATCGCAATGTTAACAAACAGATTGAAAAATATAACAATTAGATAAATTCAGCTAAATTCTTCTAAGATAAAATATTATTATTGCATATATTTTGAAACTTATATGTCATTTTATGTGTTAAACTTATATGTCATTTTTATATTTTGAAACTTATATGTCATCTCTATAACTCGTAGTATAGTCTTCCAGTTGTCTGCCTCGAATAGCTTTCGCTACCTGCAGACAACTGTTATATTTTTGTATATTTTTTTCTTTTGATTAAAATTACTGTTATTACTGTTATTATTACTGTTATTACTGTTAGAATAGACCTTTCCCCTTTTAAGTGAAATTTTGATCTAGACAAGTCTGGACAAAAATTTCATCACAGCTTGAAAGAGCATACCAAAATTAGTAATATTCCGAAGTTTCGTTGCAAAATGTTGTAAAATGAGGATAATATAGCCTTGCGAAGTTTTCCGTTTTTCAGTCATTTTGCATTACGGCCCATTACAAACGGGAAATTGATAATCAGTTTGATCATGCTTATTACTTTCGGATGACCCAAATATTACGCATACCAAAAATCATATTTCGAGTTAGTCGCACTTTAAATAAATATATTAACATTACCTTTTCTTCCTCGTCATCATCATCCATACTTTCATCACTCTCATCCTCATCTTCGTCACCCTCGCCTGGGTCATACAACGCGATTCTGATATGCTGTGTATGTTTTAGTTGAACCACACTTTCATCTGTTGGTGGCTGCTCTGTCTCTTTATGTTCATCATCTGAAATAATGAAAAAAAGATAAATTACATAATCATTAACGTGGGGATCCAATGCGGTAGTATTATTCCCTAAAGCTGGAGTCACACGAGCAACAAAATTGCTGCAACTTGCAACAAAATCTGATTTCAACGCATGTTAATTGAAAATATTTACACTGATAAATTACAAAGCACAAGGCAACAACATGTGACGACATTTCTACTTAACATGCGTTGAAATCAGATTCAGGGTTTTTCTCAGGGATTTTTTAGGGCCGTTAAACGTTTTGGGGCCGTTAAACGGCCCCAAAAACTCAATCTTAAATTGAGTTTTGAAACTCAATCTTCTCACCAAAGTTTCAGTGCAGTAAAAATGAAGTTGTTCGAGTTAAATTTCGTACGTGTGGAAATTAGTTTTCAGTTGGAAGCTCAACAATTAAGACAAAATGGCTGGAATTCATCTCACAACACAAGAAAAACTATGCATTCGCAATCTTTAACCAGTTTATAGTGTCCCTTAGTGCCCCTGCTTTAACACATTCCGTCTCAACTACATTTATTGAGTACAGGTGTCAGCCACCCGGTAGGGGTAGGGGGGTGCAGCCACCCCAGCTGTTCAGCTAAACGCAATCTTCTCTGCAAAAACGGACCCAAGAGAAAATACTGAAAAAAAACCTGAGATTTTGTTGCAAGTTGCGCTCGTGTAACTCCAGCTTAAATTAAATTCAGCTCAGTGAACTCCGTGTCTTTTATCCACTTCTAACGTAAAATAAATTGAGTTCACTGATTTAGCCTCACCTTGAGTTGGAGGCAAACGTTCAGCCATGAAAGTCTTTCCAAAGAAAACATCAGCACCCCAATGAGGGTCTAAATATTGGCCAAGAGACGACACCATTTTCTGCAGTTTTTCTTGAAACAACGTCTGCTTGTCCAAATCAACATTGGATATTTTTGGAACAATTGCCTTAGGAGTTTCATCAGCCTGCTCATTTTCGTTACCATTTGTGTCACAATTGAATTCTTTCTGGAAAATCGACATTTATTATCAACATATTAACACCCACAGTCTGTGACAACATAGCCATAGGTAGTGCCAATAACACCAGAGGGCTGCAGATTGTGAGGTATTCAACTACCTGCTTGTTTTTTTTTTCCAAAGATATTTTTCAGCACTTTGCCCTGGAGGAATAAAATCGTCAGTAGCACATTTCCAAGACAGTTTCTATCACTCACCTTTCCAAATCCCATGTAACTTAAGAAGTTGATCGGCAGCCCCTCACGAAATGCAACATCTTTCTCCATCGCCTCGTTGACGGCTTTGTCAAGAATACTTGATAAGAAATGTCCCCAGTTGCTGATATATAGGAAATAGGTATAGTTTAATTACATGCTAAATGAGACAACACCATCTATCAGACAGACCTTAGAGTACCTCTCTATCAGTCTGGAGTGGGGGGGGGGGGGGGTTTTTTTGC